AACTACTAATCGCTCCCGATCAAATACATGTACCTACGCACGCAGATGAACAAACATACAGTAGCCATGTAATACCATTACATGACTGCGTTATTTACTCCTTTATATAACACTACATGATACAACTTCCTTATATTTCTTTTGATAATCATATATAATTAGGTCTTTCTTATATAGCATGGAACTAGTATCAAGAGAGGTCCTAAAACTGTGAGCAGCCAATGAGAAACTCTCAATTTTTCAGTAGCTTCATTGCGATACATAAAGCAAACTTAATTCCTCAAATACATATATATATATATTGCCTGACGTTATGAACGAGTCTGGAATTTGTATTGTAACTTTCGTGAGACATACTAAATAAATTATTATGGTTTTCGGCTTACTCACGTAATAGCATGGCTTGAAACTAGTCGAGTTCCTCGTCAAATTATTACGTGAGTAAGCCGAAAACTTAATAATTTGATGAGTCTGGAATTATTGAGTTTCTTTACAGGATAAGCTGGTAAACGAGTAAACGGATCACGTGATGGTAAGCAATCGGCGCCGCCCATGGACATCCGTAACACTAGAGGCGTTACAAGTGCGTTATCGGCCTTTTGAGGATTAGGAATTTGAGGAGTGTTAGGGATACATAGATTAGGGAGGTTGGGAAGATTGGGGAGGGGTGTAATTGGGCCTCCGGTAACCTCATTCACACAACGAAACACAACACAGTGTTGTTTCATGTCGGTTTTCTGTGTGGTCGTGGTATCACTCCGGTCATGCCGACTGGCCCATTTGTGCCAAAGCATTGCTCTCCCACAAATTGCAAAGCGGCGGGCCAAGTGGTTGCTAAGTGGTGGTCTAAATGACAATATGTTTATCCATGCAGTTTCGTAAAATAATTGGCGAAAACTGTATACAGATCACCTAGCGTATAATTGTCAATTCGAACTTTCGAAGTGAGCTCACTTCGATCTCTAGAATTGAAAGTTACAAAACGTCCTAGCTAACTTATTAAACGTTACGATTACTTACCTATGTGTTGTAATTAAAATCAAAGATTAGCGCATCGCTATCTAACATCTAGTGTTCAACAGAAATTGATCGATGAAGTCGTTTATTTGGTAAGCACCTAGTAATACATTATGTAGTTTTAGCAAAGTCGAGTTTAATTCATTCCAAGTTAGGAACTAGATACTGATAGATAATGCATCTTTATGAGACTCATATAGATACGTTCTACTGTTTTTATAATAATTATCATGAGACATATTAAATTAATTAAAAATCGCGGGTTTACCAACGTTTAAAATACTGAAAAAACTCTACTAGTTTCGAGCCACAGAGGGGCTCTTACTCATGAGAAGGGTGCACGGTCGCGGCGATGTTGCGCAGCCTAGGTAGGCAGTAGGCTAGTAGAATTTGTCTCGTTATTTTCACGTGAATAACCCGCGATTTTTAGTCAATGCATTCTACTATCTACTATCATGAGACAATCTTAATGTAATTGTATCGGTATGGGTGCTCTACTAGTTTCAGGGCACGACGGGGACTTATAACCATGAGAAGGATATGCACAATGACCGACGTGCATGACGCCTTATTACTTGAGCGATTGTTCTCGTTTTTTTTCAGTGTATAATTGACGTGTATTAGTAAGATAGTCATAGTTAAATGGAGATTTAACGGCTTTGTTTTGTGAAACTTGAAGATCATACATATTATCTGGAATAATTTTCAGTCCATAAACCAAACATCTCGATGTTTTCAGCCGTTTTGACGTGAGTAAGGCACATACACTCAAACACACAAACTGTCTCATTTATTAGTAAGATGCAGTTCGTACGTCACTAGGCATTTCATGGTAAAGTTTCTTTATCGTTATGGTAAATCTGAAAGTATTAACAAAGTGCAAGTACAAGACCTTCTGTGGTGGTTTTTAAATAAGGACAAAGATTTTTACCATTCTGATTGATAATAAGTATACTTACATATTATTCTCAAACCGTGATTGATATCTCTAATAGTTTTTTGTAGTTGAAGGTTTTTTAATATAGAGCTTTTGTTTTCTTTATTATCTACATTGTCAGCGTGACAAAATCTTGTTTTTTTTTAATATGAATTTGGTTGATATTTTGTCAATATCTTGCACTGCCATTGACGAAGCAATATAGTGTAAATATCATGCGCTATTAATTCTCTATCTTATTTCGGGCTTAGTGCTTTTTACGTATAAAGTGACTGAGTGCGAAATTGATGCATGTTTTCGTTTTTATGTTTCAGTGTCCTAAGTTAATTCCATTTGGGTCATTCACTTGCTATGCAGAGGTGCACAATACGGCTATACGGCACTTAAAGCCTCTGTAAAATGTAACACTCACTTTTCACTTTATGTTAGGAGTCCCATGTAATATGGGAGTGAGCCTATATAGCCGGGCACAATTTCAGATTCCGTGCAAATACTGAGATTTTTTTAAAAACCCAGTAATACTTTGCCCGACGCGGAAATCGTACCCGAGACCCCTGACCCAGCAGTCGCGGCAGCGCTTGCGACCACTCGACCAGCGAGGCAGTCTGTAGTATTTTTACACAACATGATGCTAATAGCGTAGTCGTATTGAAAAACAGAACAAAGCGGAAAGATACACACATACAGAATACACATGTTTCTAAGACATTCACCTTTATATATCGAATGTAGTTCCAACTAAATTATTGCCCTCATTAGTTCTGATAGACAATGAACACGCAACTTACTGTTCTAGTGTTATACTGAAGTGCAACTCGTTTAGAATGCAAACCGTATGCACCCACGTGTGCGGCACAATTCAATTGATTATTTTATGACTGAATATTAGTATACTGTTGGTTTTATAGACAGTTATAAATATTAGCAAATACTTAGTTCATTTTATGAGCCGAAACTCTGAATGGTTATATCGATGCATTATAAATTGCTCTTGTTCATAATAGTGAGAGTAATTTTTAACTAAGTAGTTAGCTCATGTAACTGTAAACAATACATTTGCCGTTGTTATTACTTTGTTTGTTCGTGTTAAGGTGTGGAAGAGCCATGCTTCGGCACAAATGGGCTGGCTCGACCAGAGTGATACCACGAGCAGAAAATCGATGTGAAGCAACGCTTGCGTTGTGTTTCGTCCTGCGAGTGAGGTTACCGGAGGCCTAACTAACCCCACCCTCTTCTCTTATCTCCCCAATCCCTGAATCCACAATAATCCTCAAATTCCTCCGCCCCAAAAGGCCGGTAACTCACTTCTATCGCCGCTGGTGTTACGTAGGCGACGCCGATTGCTTATCATTAGGTGATCCGTCTGTTCGTTTCCCTGCTTATCCCATGAAAAATATTTTTCATAAAATTCTGATTATACAAAGTTCATCTTATCTCCCACATGGACAGACGACCTCATTAAGGTCGCAGGGAGCCGCTGTACGCGGGTCGCTTCCAACCGGCCTATCTCGAAGTCGTTGGGGGAGGCCTATGTTCAGCAGTGGACGTCCTGTGGCTGATGTGATGATGATGGTGATACAACGTCCTATTTTGGACGAATGTCTGTCTTCCATAGTTAGCTAAGCGGGATCCACATTCCACATTCTTAGTTACACGTATCGTCGGATTTATTGTTAAGCAACGGGTAAGTTACAGCTATTTCTTCTTCTTTATTTCAGAAGTATGTATTTACGTCTGCAGTTTGTTTATCCGCCGCTAACGACTCGATCTCCATGCTCCATTTGACAATCTCATTAAAATTTTTGTGACCAAAAAGTTATAAGCGCGCAAATTCGCAGACCTATTGACTTCGCAGTGAAATTGAATAAAAGAATAAAGAGAACAGAGAATTAATTAATGAGCTAATAAGAATTTAGACTTAAATGCCCCCGTAGTGTTCATGGGATTCTGTGACGTAAGCGTAAGATATAGAATAACAAATTTTTGGTAACCGAAGGGTTATATATTAGTGTGCGTCCACATCTGGCACACATGTGGACGCACTCTAAGACTAGGCTCACTAGACAACAACCTTTTAATAATGTGTATTATTGGACCAACATTAAAGATTATAAACGAATCAAAGAGGCCTACTTTGTCCATTACAGATATGGAGATGGAGAACATGAGGTTCTGAGTGACGCTTAGAACTTAGGAGTCACACCAGCGATTACACTTGACAAGCGGTGCATTAAATTATAATTGATTTAGGTATTACATTTTTTCCTAACCCTAACTAACTATAGCTACAGCTTCAGGTGCTGAGACCACAATTTCTCAATGGCTAAATTTCCTTTGGATTGCAAAGTGCAGGCGTTGCCTCGGCGAGTGCATGTGATTGACCAAACATTATGACATGGTGACGGGCGCCTTTGTGGACAATGATATAATTTATTTTTCACCACCTCGCACCCCAAGATTGTGGACGAAACTGGTACGGATACCTTAAGAGATGATAATACCTACTACACTTATTTATTTTGTTTACAACCCAACCAGTATGTGTGTGTGAATGTAAAATCCAGGATATAAAGATATTCTAGGATATTATTATTTACAGGTATAACCTATACATACACTTATAACAACCCTATTTCGAATCCTATACGTAGATATCAAATCGCTTAGAAATGTAAATAAATAAGTCAATAGTACTTTCATTACCTAACCTGAAACTTTATTTACCTAAGTATTATTTTATTACTTCCAGTAATGTGATGATGAGACTTCTTGAGGCACAGTAAATAATAAATAAACCACTTTTCACAATCTGTTTATAGAATTATTTCAAGACAATTTTCCCCAAAACGTCAAAATCCGAACCATACAAAATGTCTTACCAATCTATAAATCCAGTGTAACAATTAATCAAACAGCACAATAGCAAGCCTTTCTTTCAATTCTTTCAATTTTCCACCGAGCAGCTCTATAGAGATACCTCGTAGCCGTTGCTCTCTCGCGGCGTAGCCTAATCACTATAAATACAAGTGATTTTTGTCCGAGTGTACATTGCCTCACAGACCGCACAGCGGGGCCTACCTACCCCCCAGCCTAAACCAAAAACATATTAAACATTTGTGAAAGTTCTGGAAGGTATTCAGTGAATTTTGTGCTTAATTTTTTCTAGATTTTCGTGTGATTTCGTGCTAAATATTTTGGCTAGATTTTTCTCTTAAAATTTTCTGAATGTGTTAAAGGATTTATGAATTAATTTCATTTAAATTAACTTAGAGCTTAATCAAAATTGCTTTAGTAAAATTAATAATAATAATTTGTTCTAATAAATTGATGTAAATTAAGTGCTGTAACGGTGTCATTTCAGTTCGACTGTAGCGAAAATGAAGACGTTTTCAGCTGTATTATTATGTATCGGTGAGTATTTATTACTTTTAATTATCTATTATTAAAATAAGTATTTTAAAATAAATGATTTATTGCTATTACAATGACATTTTAAGTATTAGCGACACAAATTATAGAAATTAACTGTTGCGTACTTAATAATTTTAAATAAGAAAACTTATTAATTACCTTAATATTAATTAAATCAATAATTTTAATTTTACTAAGTTTACATTCCATTACATCAATAAATAAACCACCACTTATAAAAAAAAAATTTAGAGAAAACTATTAACTCCTTCAGACCAAAAATAATCGATTAGAGAGAAATTAAATGTCACATTATTTATTTATATCATTTTACTATCGTGGACAATCAAACAATTTACTATCGTGGACATTGCAGCATCATAACAGTCTTTCAATAAAGTGAACTTAAGTAATAAAATATCTCAACCATTACCTTTATGAGATGTCTAAACATTTATTTATTTATTCGTAAGGCGTTTACAGTCATTCACACATTATAAAGCTATTTAATTTTTATCAGACATCTAAAGATATTTGAAGATACAACTATGTTTTTATAATAACTATCGTGAGACATACTAAATTACTCTAACTCACGTGAATATACTGAGAAAAGCTCTACTAGTTTCGAACCACAGAGGGGTTCTTCCTCATGAGCAGCGTTCTTTCTCAGTATATTCACGTGAGTAACCCGCGATTTTTAGAAATAATTCTACAACTAGTTTATAATATCCGTATTAAATATAATGTTCAGCAACATCATAAATAAACTGTTTTAAAACTAGTAATACAATTTTACCAATATGTACATAGTACATACATATACTGCCAATACATAACGATGCATTAAAACTGCGTGTCATATCCGTTTCCGCAACATTTCCATGTAAATAATGAAACCCGAGGAAAATAACGTTACAGTACTGCACGAGGTTTTTACAGGCTGAATTATTTTACGAAGGAACTGAACTGAAGTACGCTGAAAATTTCAGTTATCTCCTTAAACCTATCTAGAGGTACATTACAACAAATGACAAAGTATGATTCTATTGCTTTTCTTAGAAAAATCTTCAAAAAGTCATTTTGGTAATTTTTTCTTAGGTAATGAATTAGGGTATACCTAACTAAGTGAGATACTATTTGGTGGTTTAAGATAAACTCACTGAAAAACGTTATACATTCTTCATTAAACGATTAGCCTAAGTATCTATGTTAGGAGATAACTATATTTCTAATTCCTACCGTGTTTTGCGATGAGATGAATGATGAATAATAAGTAAATTAATTTTGAAACGTTAATTTAGGTTTTGAGAATCAGATATCCTTTATCTCTATCTTTTTATAATAACTATTGTGAGACATACTAAAGTAGGCTGCGCGAAATCGCCGCGACCGCGCACGCTGTTCATGAGGAAGAACCCCTCTGTGGCTTGAAACTAGTAGAGATTTTCTCAATATTTTCACGTGAGTAACCTGCGATATTTAGTTAATTTATCTCTATCCTTCATTTATGTGTAAAACTGTTTTATGAGATGTGAAACTGTGTTCACCTCTCAGAAAAAGTCAACGAGTCATCGAGATCGAATCATTCACTTAAAAATCGGATACCTATCAGAATCGGACACTATATTAATAAAACTAAACTACGTAAAAATAATTACCAATATCTAGGTAATCAGTAAATAGTAATTATAAGTTATAGATCAAAAATTAAAACTAATTACATACAATTATATCACGTTATCGTCTTTATATAAGCTAGAAATAATGTAAATAGCAATTCGGGCGTTAGGAAGTGCGCCCGCGCACGTTTCCTCACGCAAGATCGTTTTACGCATTCACTCGGTTAGTTTTACGCATGAGCGGGTTAAATACTTGGTCTATTAGTTAACATAACCACTTACTATATGTACCTATTCATTTATCATTAATGAAATAAAAAAAATACAGTTAGTTTTCAGGGGATAAAAAATCCCCCGTGTCGGTTTCAGGTTCTCTAAGCAAAATAGAAAAGTTTAAGAAAATTCTCAATTTCTCTTTCTCTTTCTAAAGTTACAGAAAATTTATAATTACTAAAAGCTTTTTCTGAAAAGACTTGGATAATAATACTTTGTGTAGAATTAAATTGGTAGCGGTAGGTAGGTACTTTTTACCGACTTCAAAAAAGGGAGGACGTAGGTATAATGTTCGGATGATTCTTTTTTTTTCTATGTATGTTTACCAATTACGCCGCTGATTGTTAGATAACACCATGTTATGGATGAAGCTAATATTTTTCAGTAAGTCAGTACATGTAAACTACAGAATTACTGAATTAATGTTTGAAACTTTTCTGCATATAGATTTTTCTTGCCTATGAATTGAACACTCACTACATTATTTTTTTACATACTTAACTAATTAGTCGAATCGAAGATACAAGAAGTAGAGTAATTAAAGTAATTGAGCGAATAATTCGCTACTTAATGATTAAAATCTGGTTTAATCGAATTAACGCAATGCAAGTGTTTCTCAACATTTTCGTGTTATTTCAAAATTCGTCCTTCCATAAAGATATATTTAATGAAAGTATTGTGACAAATACTGTTTAATTGTATATTAAAACTGTCACCCGTGAATGTGGTTTTGTAATAATTAAGTAAAGACGCGAAGGATATTGTTACAAAACATGTATTATGAAGGCCAATCAAATGATGCCCTAATTAAAAGCCTTATTAAAATGTTGATTTCCACAAATTTTAATAGCATCCACATTAACCTCAGCACTTGAATTGTTCCAGGCACACTTTCCCTGGCGGCTGCAGCTCCAGTGAACCGCGACAACTCCCCTATCGAGTATGAATACGACTACGACCACGCGGCCCAACAGGCACAACAAGCCCCACAGGCCCAGGAGCCCCAGGAGTCAGCCAGCCACTACGACGCCTATATCCAGGACGTTAAGGCTGCAGCTAGCGGCGGCAGTGGCGGCAAGAAAGGCTTCAGTCAGGGCAGTGGTCTCAGGACCATCGCCGTAGGCTCCGCCAACCAAGCTAAGACTGCTCTCGGAAACCAAGCTGCTGCTGGTTACCAAGCTGCTTACGTAGCCAAGAATACTCTCGCCCAGTCTGCTGCTCAAGCTAGTGCCACAGCCCAGGCCGCTCTCGCCGGTAAACAGGTCATCCTCGCAGGTTTGGAACAGCAAGTCAGAGACGCCAAGGTTGGACTCCAGGGTGAAGAGATGCAGCTGCAACAAGCTAAGAGAGCCGCCCAGGCTGCTGCCAACGCCGCCCAGCAAGCTATGCACCAGGTAGGTGTCACTTATTAATTGGTTTCAACAACTGTTGTTATTTCAAACTTAACACATTCAAACCATTTTTTGCAAAGCAATAAAAATGGCAATTGCAAGTGAAACGCACTTCCCGGCCACGGCCAAACAGCGCTCGGTACTCAAAAAATGCAAATAATTTTTATAACAATTGAGCAAACTTATCCAGTTGGTACAGTTAACAATAATTTTAGCAATGAACTAATTAAAAAAACTGGAGGCACGCTGACAGGTTTTTGCAGCAACAGTAACGCAACTGTAACACTAAAAGTGATTTTTTCAAGTACCTAAATAAATAAAATAAAAAATGGAAAAATCCAACGAAATGTACAAAAAACTCGTTGTGCAAATCGCTTCAAATGAGTTTTACGAAAAAATAATACAAAACATTGAAGAAAGATATCAGAAAGTCAATTATAATTACTGAGTTACGCAATAGTTCGGTCCACTTGCTTTGGGAAATGAATTGATCGTTCAATGGTCGTTTTGTTACAATTGCAGTAAGTGGTATAACTAACATTGTGTGCCACAAATTGGTAACACAACTAAACATGTTGACAAAGAGGTTAAAAGCCTATTATAGTAATGTGTTATGTAGCATTTTAGTTATATAACTGAAAAGTTAAGTACACATAGATTACAATACTAACAATTTACTTTTATAAACTTGAAAATGGATTATTGGTTGAAATATCGATGTACATAAAAATAATTCAATAATTTCCGTTGCGTCTCGAGTGGATATTACATCATATTTGATAACTTCAGAAGAACTATCTAAAAGGATGGAAGAAGGACAGACAAGAGTGTCGATGGCCGAAAGTGAGAACCATCTGTCCAGCAGTAGACGTCATTTATGCATCATCTGGTTGATGAAGGATAATGATTGATTGAAAATAACTATTATCGTTGATAGTTACATTAATAATAACAATAACACCTTGACCCGATTCAACGAAAAAAGTCCTACATCTACATAGAAAATTGATTAAACACAGAACACATGAACCGTAACCGAAACGAACTTCAAACGTTTCTGCAAAATGAACGCAACCAATAAACAATTCCCGCGCAAAATAATTGCAATTCAATTTCAAAATATTACGTGACAAAATGTGAACAAAAACATATTAATTTGAACTTAGCAATTCCATGTAATTGATTTACTTTATGTTATGGTGTTTAGTAATACTAAACTGAGTAAAGTACGAAAAACTTAGTTCTTGCAACAGTTTCAATCTTGAGAAAGCGTTGGTGATCTGTTTACTAATAATGTTGTAATGGCCGAGTGTTTCTCTGGATAAACTGATACAGAAATAGCAGATAATTAGATTACTTGATGGTTCTCAAAATCAGGTAACTATAGTGCTCAGTTGTTTAAAGTAAAATGTTCTTCAAAAACTGATCATTATTACGACAGTGTTAGACTTTAGAGAGAAAGAAAATTTATGGATTTGTTATCAACAACCGCTTGCATAGTGATTTATAAAGCGAAGTATCCGTCTTGAAGATATTCATAGAAGTTTGGATGACAGATATTATACCCAGTTATGTTAATTAATTATATAGAGGCTTAGACAGTTATTTAGATTATGTAAAGTTTTAGTATATTGGCGTGTTTTAACAAAAAATTACGTTACGTTGAATGCTCCAGTAAAGACTGCGTATTGACTAATTTGGTCTAGACAACAGTTGACCGATTACTATAATCCGATCGTTATATAACGGTTGCACTTACTATTGTTGCTTATTACATTATTTGCAATTTCTGCAGTTTGTCAAAGATCTTGTTATCCATAAGTCAGTAATCAAGTTATGCTGAATATTTGTAACAGCACTAGAAAAATTAATAAGGCTTTAAGTTATTGGGACAATACACTCTAGCTAGTTATTTGGAGATGGATCACAGTTAAGTAGTGGACTGTTTCTAGCTATTGAAGATGTCAGTATGCACATCTGGCCAATTCTTCCTTACCTACCCTTTTTTCTGTGACAAAGCGTCAACCGTATCTTCTTCATTGAGATGGATTTTTCCATACAAATTAAAAAACCACGAAGTTTAGAGAGTATGAGTAGTCTCATTTGTGTATGTCATCTCATTTTTAAACTGTTGAATCCATACTTCCTTCGATTAAGTAATCAGTCTTTTATATTTCTCTGTCTTTTTAGAAAGACAAGCTAAGCTTAATTAGTTATTAGATCTCATTTCTTCTCAAATATAATGGTTGATAATCTTCACAAAGTTATTAATTATACTATAAAAATAATAACATCTATTTCAGCTCTCGTCCTTGAATCACTTCACTCGATCCCAAGTTCGCAAGAATTTAAGAAACCCAATCAAGAAACCGAAACGTTATCGATCGAAATATTTTGCAAGCAATCTTTATCGTTCTTCAGTTGTTTGCGACACGTTTTAATTATAACAACGTTCCGGTCCATTTTGTGGCTTTATTGTGTTTTAGATATTATTTAAATTGCTGTTGAAAGTCCAAGGTCTTACTGGCGACAGCTGCCTTTTTTCTCTCATGAGAAACTTTCATATTAGTTGTGTTAGGTACTAGTATTATTATAGTTCCGGATCATCAACAGCCTATAAATGCCCACTGCTGAGCGAAGCCTCTTCTCACACGGAGAAGGTTAGAGCGTTAATCACCACGCTTGCTCAATGCGGGTTGGCGATTTCAAACTTATAATTAGAAATTATAAGTCCAGGTTTCCTCACGATGTTTTTCCTTCACCGTTTGTCAGTGGTGTCTAAATAATCTTAGAAAGTACATAGAACTCGGAAAAAGTCCCATTGGTACTTGCCGTTGGTAGGTTTCGAACCCGCACCCTCATGCATGAGAAGTGGGCGTCTTAAACCTCCGGGCCACCACGACATTAGTTCCGGATATCAATGTAATATCTTCCTCTGTTTTTAATTTGTATAGTAATGAAAATCTTGTGGTCAGATAAGACATATGATCTCATTGTAACCAATACGCTTTCCTGTTGGTTCATGGTTTAAGATTGTACATTGAACTTGAAACTTTCGCTCTCAGTATTTCATGATCATTAGACATGCTCTATTTTATTATGGCATTCTAAATCCTCTTATAAGATTGCATAGAGTTTATGGAATGTGACATCTCTAGCTTCTATTAGAAACACATGTTAATTACGTATTTGTTGAGAATAACCCGGGATCACCTCTGGAACTCAGCCAAGTTGATGACCAATTTCAGAATTAAATATGTATCCCTTGAGCGAATTTTGATTAACTCTTTGTGATTCACAGGTGAACGTTATCCAAGCTGCCTTGAACGCTGCCCAAGCTACATCAGAGAACGCCAATGAAGCAGCATCTCAAGCTGCTGGTGAGCTCGGTGCCCAGACCGCCATGGTGGGAGCTGCCAGACAGAGGCTGCATACTCTGCAGGATCAGCTTCATGGAGTCAGGATCGACTTCGAGGCTACACAGGCGGCGGCGAGAAAGGCTCAGGTATGGAGAGACACTTAGATATTATAATTTTGTATTACCACGATAGTGAAAGGCGAAAATGTGCTACATTCCGCATAGAACTTCATACTTAAGTAACCAGACTAAGTAGTAACCAAATCCTAGGCAATTGGTAGAAAATCCTATGGAAACTTTTGGTTTAAAATAATAATGAATACTGTTTCCTTGAACAGGAAGCGCAACGGAACTCAAAGGCGTACATTATTGAGGATATTACCATTTCCGTGGTCTACTAAGATGTGGCGAGGAGACTTATTTATTTGTTGATGTCTTGTTCATTAGTTCCTTTTAATAAACTTATTGATCTCACTTTTTTTTCTTTCTTTTTCATATTTCTTTCTTCAACATCGCCTGTTGACTAAGAATAAGGATCATTAAAGGATATCTTATGCATATCTTATGCATCACTGATTTTATCAGCCAAAATCGAGTAAATCAGTATAGTTATCATTAGAATACCCACTTTAATCGCCAGTTACGGTTTTATTGTCATCAAGCTAAGTCAGTTGTATACTTACCAATTTTTTTCGTCCTTCTTCCAGGCGGCAGCTCAACAGGCTCAAGCTAACGCTGCTGCCGCTGCAGCGAAGGCAGCTGCGGCTGGACTTGGAGGCCAGCACAAGGATTCGTCTCACGAAGGTACGGCGCCCGAGCAGTACCAGGCTGCTCCTCAGAGCCAGGAACAGGACGCTCACGAATACTATCAGCTACAGTCGGACTACCACCACTAGTAACAATAAGGTTTTAGGTGTCTGAGTTTTGAGATTTGAAGGAGTTTTTTGGTTTGTTTGTTTTTGTTCCTATTTCTATCCTTGTTTCTCCCCTATGTCTTTGTTTTCCTTTTACGCTATCCTCATTTGTCTTCCGTCTTCTTCTGTCATATTCATGGTATTTTTTTACCAATATGGTTTTGTTTTTCCTATAAGTTTCTTAAACTCTTTTTCATTATCTACTATCAAAATCATTTTCCTCATCCTTGTTTCTGTTCATGTTTCTTCTTCCCTCCTTTTACATATTGTCCTTTCTTACAAAAAATCAACAAAGTAAAAAAGTTTGAGAATCTCAGAACGTTAGTTATAGTTAATATTAGGATAGGGTACTTTAGCATTAAAATATTTATTTCACACATTGCATCCTATTCTAATGTTAGCTTACAAGTAGTCAGAGTGATATCTACTACGATGTAAATAAAATGTTTTATCTTTATAGTTAGGAATGCTTCAACATCGAGTTATGTGATATCTGTTATGTTTTCCATTTTTATACTTTTTTATACTTATATGGTCCCAAGTGGTTCCTATTTTGTTTGTGTAACTATTAAGTTATACTAACCGCAAAAATATTTTGAGGTGATGCCCAAAATGGCAAACGAAATCCTGTAACTTGACAACGCAACCAAGCAGCGATTAAAGCCAAGTTTGCTGTGTAGTTACTGCAACATGTTGCATGACGCATGCTTGTTGCGTTGCGAGTTACGTAACAGTTCCCTTTGATACTAACATCATAATTAAGTGCGATGTCTCAAAGCCATAGTGTCGACAGAAAGTGTGAAAAAATAAAATATTGTTTTTGTTACTTCTGTTTTTTCAATATGATCTTGACTGATGACTATCTTGACTGTGACTGTTTCTGACTATTACTTGACATCTCACTTAATACTTGACTGGACTAACACTTACCTACCCTCCCTGATTCTCTTATAGTTGTCTTAAAGACGTGGTACGCTATCATGGTTTGATATTTATACAGAATAATAAATCTGCATAAATCTTTAAAAAAATTGTCTGTAAAATGCCAGTCATTTAACTTGTTCACGGGCTTTCAAACAAAGATTCTTTGGGGTTCTTTCACGACGCCATTGATTATATTAGCAAAATCAAATTATTTTTAAAAAATACTTAGGTGCATAGCAAAATCCTTTTAGAACTTTCCTCGAACTAACAATACCTATATTTTACTATAAGTTATTTTTTGCACCTTTTATTTATAATTTATTATGTATTTAAATTACTTCATGTAAAAGTACATTGGTTCGAAAGCAGTTGGTAAGTATTCGACACTCTTAGTTTCACCATACACTTAATATTTCAACTGCACGTCTACTCTTCCCAATATCATGCTTCTACTCTTCCTATAACAAGCTAATTTCCTTAATTCTATACAAATTGGACACTAAAGCTTGCAAAAATATACTCCAACATTGGCTAAACCTATGGCTTTGTTTCATGGCTCGTCAGCGAATCATGGAGATTCGTAAAGCGAGATCTTTCGTATATTTCAGAGTGGGCCAGCTCGGACCAGGATCCCATTCAAGTGACCAGCGAACAACCCTTGCACCTCCATGAAGAACCACTGCTCACCACAGCCCCAGAATCAATTCACGTTCCCATTGACAGCAATGCATACATATCTAAAGCAATCACATCACTCCAAAAAACACTGCATTCGAAACCCAACCAGATTGAACTGGATAAACCCATCGATTTCCAGTTCCAGCCGTTCCAATCCGCTTTCAACCAGTTTAGATTCAAACCGTTATCGGCTAAGTCTCAAAAATTAGCTACAAATCCATTTCAAGTATATGCTAAGCCGGTTAAAGCAGCCCCTAAGCCTACTAAATTAGTACCTAAGCCTGCCAATTTAGTTGCTAAGCCAACTAAGGTAGTAGTCGCTAAGAATGTTGGGAAGATATTCCCCGACGCTTATATTAATTTAGATAGCTTTTTCAAGGATAATAAAGTAGCAAGTCAAAGTAATTATGCGAAACAATTCGGATTTTATGGATGGTAGTAGAAGAAGTCACAGGAGGTAGGTTCTCATAGTAAGTTAATCATTCGTTCCTATGCTTTTCCCAATACACACCAAGGTTATGGCCCTTGCAAAAATATTTTATTTATGCCATATACTCATAATTATTTAAATTAATTTTATTTATCTATTTACTAAGTCGTACACAGTATTTGTAAGAGCACATAATTTATTAATGATCTTTTAAATACAAGCTAAAAACGTTCTAGTTCTATGATCAAATTTTAAGATTAGTAACTTCTGTCTCTAGCGCCAGCGAAAGAAGAGCAGCACGCGGCCGAGCCGGAGGAAGAGGAGGAGGAGGAAGAAGAAGGTGAAGCCGAACAAGAAGAAGAAGAAGATTGCGAAGAAGAGAAAAAGAAAAAGTAGATTATGCCAAATAGTTAAATGCCATTATTAGTGCGAGTGTGATGTCTGCATAGCTGTTAATTTTTGTTGTTACTTAATTTTAAGGATGTTGTAGTTAATAGTAATAAAATAAATTAAGTGAATCATTATTAGGTATTTATTTTACACTGAACAGAACCTAATTTATTGATGAGACAGATCTCATGTTATTTTTTGGTACCTTAAAATAAACTGGAAGGATACGAGGTGGTTATTTTATAGATTTGGTATTTTTATTTCCCCTTTATCTACTAGTACCTAAGCACCGATTTAAATGTAAGTCCAGAAAGAGAAGAAAAATAATGAGCGTATTCCTTTTTAAAAGGCCGGCAACGCACCGGCACCTTTTTATCTATGCGATCTCATGGCGAAATGGCATCAACGACTGTTGCAACCGAGGGCTGGGCCCGCTGCGATTGCAGCGGTATGTCCCATACCGCTTTAAGGAGTGGCTTTAAAGACGCTACGGCGTCCTCACCTACCGCCTGACGCAGGTCCTTACTGGACATGGGAGATTCGGGAGGTACCTGTGTCTGATATATCAGGGAGGAAACGCCCGGGTGTCATTACTGCGAGGACACAGCCCAGCCGTCGCGAAGGACACTCCGGGCGTTGGGGATCGCTGGATGATCTCCGGCCACCATAAGCACGGGCCTGCGGACGGCGAGCATGGGTGGCTCGCCGCCCGACCAGAACCAGGTCCGAGTGTATGGCGCGTCGCTATCGCACGCGCCTCAAAGAGCCATCAGGTACCCACGGATGGGACTCAATAGGGCTGGTGCCGATACGAAGCCGCGGAGAACTTAACGGGTTACTATACGGCTCCGGCTCGAAGGACAGGAGTAGGAACGGGGTGGTTTTTAGTCAGTAAGAGTCTTACACTCCATCCCGCTTCACCCAGGCAGGAGAAGTCATTGCATGATTTTCCCCACTTAAAAATTTATCTAAAAGTAAAACGGGTAGCACCATGTTGTATGTTTTGCGTAGCGCCATCTATTGACACGTAGTGGCACTTTAGTGAATGTTATAAATGACAACCACGTTCCAATTCACAATAGCATCGAAAAAACGCTTAACAAAACTAGTCATGCAAGCAAGCCTATTATCATAATTATATTGTATTTTACAAAATTTTAGTAAATTAACTTAATATACTAATACTGCTATAGAACATTTTTTATACAATAACGTTAACATGACAGGATTGCTTGTATTGTATTGTGATGAATGGAACGTCCTTCCAAGTTTTCAAAACGTGACAGACGTCTGTGTCAACACATGTTAGCAGAAAAATATTAAATAATTATTTAAAATGTCTGTCGTTAAGAAGAAGAAGCGTGTTTCAAAGAAGAACAAGAAGGCGTGGGGAAAATACAGTGATATCCGTGATGTCGAGGAGTTCTTAGAAGATCAGAGATTAGAAGAGCGATTGGGGTGAGGTTATGTTTACATCATGTGCTCAACTATTTTTGTGTTTATTTCTACTATAATTGTGGTAATAACAAAATATTTTAGTAGTTTTATTGTGAAATCTTGTATAGAAAACACAAACATAAAAAGACTAATTGTCTGTAGTTAAATATTCACTTCTCTTTCAAATGCCATTAAACTGAGCAGTCTTTCTGTTTTTGTAAGCCTACACCGCTGGATAAGTACAAAGTATTACGTTTCATTTGCTTAACAGCATTAGAGTGCTATAATAGTGTAAAAAGTCGTATCTTTTTTATACTTTGCCAAACAAAATTAAAACTTACATTACTTGCTTCATATTTCATAACATTTCCGCGCATATTTGCAGTAAGTTCGAGACGAAGCCGGACAGTGAGCTGTTTGTGGTAGACGTTGCAGGCGACAATGATGAGGTCGAGGACAAGAAGCCACTCTCGCACAAACTACAGAAGCGAGCCAAGCTGAAAGAACTACCAAAATGTTTTGAAGTTTTATTGCCCACTTCTAAGGTAACCTAATCTCTAATACCTAAAATCTTATTATTACATTAAAACCATAAGCATGGTTAATATTTATGTATATTGTATCTCACCAATAAAATTCGGTAAAGAACTGGCCCAGTCGTGACGGCGCCGTTCGTTCATCTCTAAAAAGAAATAAAATCTCTAGATTTAGAAAGTTCTTTACTGCGATTGCGATTTAATTATTATAGTTAATGTTGTTCCCTTCAGATTAACAAACAATAAAATGGGGAAATCTATAAAAACAAAACATGTTGAGATTTTACAGTGTTTATTTTATCATCTGCATTAGCATTGATATGTATAATGTTACCCACACATGTTTATACAAATAATATATCTTTATCTTTAAAAATTTCTTTCAGGTTCAAGATCCCAATGCAAAACGCAACCATGTGAATCCAATCGGATTCAAACCAACAGCTCTAAGTAAGTTGAAACAAAAGAAGTTGGAAGAAAAAGGAGTTTTTGAGAGGAAACTACAAGAAGCAAAGAAGAATAGAAAATTGGCTAGAGACAAGAAGAGAAAGGCGAAACAAGTTAGACAGAACTTCAGTAAAGATCTTTGGGGACAGGATTGTAAGTGGTTTTCCAAAAATTATAAAAAACAGAATTAGTGTAGTCAATATAAAATCTTGAAAAACAGTCATTTATTGCCGGAGGTCGCACAGTAGTAGTCCCATCTAAAGCAGTTGGTAATGTTATCCATAGATAAGTGGGTAATCTAAAGTAACTTCATTGTTCACCCTGTATAGAGAAACTAGATTAATTCTCATTATTGTTCCATTTCACGGTTTCACGGTTCTTGGATCCAGACTGCATGATTCATGCAGTGGCTGGGCAATTGTCTGCAGTGCAACTTGTTTCGGGTTCGATTTCTGCACCAAACAATTCTTTGTGTGATCCTTAAATTGTTGTTCTCGGTCTGGGTGTCATGTGTATGTGAACTAAGACACAGGAGAAAACGCTACATAGGGGCAACAATGTTTTTAAAAAAAAAATCAATAGGTGCATGGAGTGGAATTGTGCCCGGTATATGGCAATAGGCTTACCCCCTAGTACATGGGACTCATAACATAAATAGTGAAAAGTGGGTATTACTTCTGCGTGCACTTCTGCCGACCCCTTCGGGGATAAAAGGCGCCATGTTATGTTATGTTTTTATGAAAATTAGGTTACTAAAAATAACATTTAATTTGATTGTCAACATGTCTTAGGAATTGCATATTTATACAATTGATTGATGTTCCTTCATTGTGGAACAAAGTACTTACTTCCCTTTCATATATCAAATAATTTCTTCAACAGTACCAGAATCAAAAGGTATCCCAGAAACATTGGTGGATGAGTTCATATCACCAGAAGCACAGCTCCACAATGTGCTACCAACACAGAGACTGCGACCGAAGCCTCCGCTGGCCAAGACTGTTGTCACCAGGGCTGCGGTAGAAGCTCCTCATCCAGGAGTCAGTTATAATCCTTCATACCAGGTTAGTATTGACACTATATACTAATAGAGTATTGTCAGTTTTAAATGTTGATACCAATGTAGGTGTTGCGGCACTTGATAATCTTGTTATGTTTTCGGCTTACTCGTAATTCTTTGACGAGGAACTCGACTTGTTTCAATCCATGCTAGAGGCTCATATTCGTGAGCAGCATTTCGCGACCTGCGACGCGGCGATTGTAGCGCTGCTACTGATATGATGAATAACTACGTGAGTAAGCCGAAAACATAATAATTTATTTAGTACTAGCGACCCGCCCCGGCTTCGCACGGGTGCAAAAAAACCGCATCAAAATCCGTTGCGTAGTTTTAAAGATCTAAGCATACATACGGACATACAGCGAAAGCGACTTTGTTTTATACTATGTATTGATGTCTCACGAAAGTTATAATACACTTGATAATCCTTTACGATAATCCGTTTTAATGCCCGTGGATATTTAACATTGACCACAACCAGTTATACTTCCGTCCTTTTGACTCTTATGTAATGAATACTGTAATCCATGCTTCACTACATAGTATGAAACAAAGTCACTATCCGCCGTCTGTCTGTCCCTATGTATGCTTAGATCTAAACTACGCAACGGATTTTGATGCGGTTTTTTTAATAGATAAAGTGATTTTTAAGGAAGGTTTATATGTATAATACATGCATATTGCACCTGTGCGAAGCCGGGGCGTGTCGCTAGTATACTATTAATATAGAAAATCGAAAAGGTTACGATAGTTAGCATGATCCGGTTATCACAACTGATTGAAACGCTCACTGTGTGCACAATCGCGTATTTGTATTCGACTCACGTGGCTGTTTAATTACTAGTACTTTACTAATAAGTATAAATATTATACTATCATCATTCATCTTTTATTAACCCATGGTTGGTACTCCGGAACGTAGATATACGCGAGACACAATGCCGGCAGATAAGAGGTTAATATTTATTAATCTGTACTATTCCCTTATTCCAGGAACATCAAGATCTACTCCAGCAGGTGGGTCAGCACGAGGTGAAGATGATGAAGCGCGAGGCACACCTCAACAGAGTCACCACCGGCATGTTCCGCAGAGTCACTCAACAGGAGAAAGAGGTATGTAGTAAACTTTGTTTAAAAAATTATATAGAAGTTTGTCTTGTATGGAATCGAACCACCAATTGGGTGTTATGCCATTGTGTGTGAACAATTGCTACAATAAAGCAATATAGGTCCTTAAATTTCCTTAAAAGCCCAGTATTGTTAAGATTTTATGGCTAAAGTCGACATCATCCCTTTTAAATAAGTCACTAATCAACCGTGGTCGCGGTTGTCTATTCTGTATTCCGTTTCTAGTTTGTACATGTGCATAGTAACTTCTGACACCACACACGTACACCCATAGTCATTATCTTAATGTTAATCCATCTCCATCTTCCCAGAACCAATGGCGAGAGGAGATGAGCGCTGGTCTACCCCAACCTCACAACCCAGCCAATGACTCGGGCTCCGAGACAGACAATGAGTACAAGGCAGTGAATCCTCCGGTTAAGAACAAGAAGAAGGACCACAAAGCTAGAAGGAAACAACGAGAGAGATTGGAGGAGAAAGAGAAACTTAAGCGGGAGAAGATTGACAAGAAGAAGATTACTGATCTTTATAAGTGAGTTTGCATTTGTTTTTAAAATAGCTGCCTTTGTAATAATTAGACAATTGGCTACTTGCCAACTACTCAAATTGAATACTTTTTTCGAACTGTCAAAAACCAAGGGTTTTTTTTTATTTTGTACGAGATTGTGAATTGTACCGTCACGTTTTTTTGCGTCAATCAGCATTCTTATTTCTTAAAAATTTACTGGAAAGTACTAAAATTTAGTTAGTCATAAAATCAATTAATGAAAGTGTGATTATTTTTTAACATTTTATTGTATTGAACAGTCGAGATATTATTACTATATTGTATATGGCAATAAGCTCACTCCCTATTACATAATTAGTGAAAAGTGGGTGTTACTTCTGTGTGCACCTCTGCCTACCCCTTCGTGGGGATAAAAGGCGTGATGGTATGTTATGTTATGTAAAAGTTACACGAAAGAATGAGCAAATAGCTTCACTAGAAGACTGACCGAGAGACTGACACATTTTATTTTGTTTGAAGTTCATAAGTTTGAACTGTTTTACAATGAAAAAGTATTCTATTGGATATACATTATATTTTAAAACGATGCCCCACATTACTATTTTCTCCTGTGTCGTGGGTGCTCTGTGGACCACACAAAAAAGGCTAGTTCCGTGCGGGAATCCAACAAGCGACCTGTAGCGTCGCAGTCAGTGGTCCAGCCACCGCGCTAACTGTGCAGTCAATCAAGTATAGGATAGAAGATCTACTCTCTATTCAGCAGTTGATTTATTACCAGAAAAAAAGTTAACATAATGTCTTCTTATTCCTTCCAGGCTCCGTAAACTCCAATCTTCAATCCAGACTCGTGAACAGAAGCAAGCAGAAGAGCGGACAAAGCGGTTAGAGAAGCGAGCTGCCACGGAAGCTACCGCTTTACCCGCACTCAGCGCTCATAAGACTCCGGTCAAGGAACCTGACTTCGTGGACCCTAAGCAGCTGACCGGAGACTTAAGGAATATACAGTCTACTAGTAAGTATAGTTTATTAATGCTAAGTAATACTTCGTTATGTTTTTTTTTAATAATTTTGCGATATTCATATATAATTATATTATAAAGTCCACCAGTGCATATTTGCCTGTTTGTATGTTTACAATGTTTTTTTTTAAACATTGCCCCACATTAGGTTTTTCTCCTGTGTGGTGGGTGCGTTTACAAACATACAAGTTCACATACACAAGACATCCAGACCCGGAACAACAATTTGTGGATCACACAAAGTGTTGTTCCGTGCGGGAATCGAACCCGCGACACGTTGCACGGCAGCCGGTTGTCCAGCCACCGCACCAACCGTGCAGTCAAAATTCAAAAACTACTGAACAGATTTTTTATATTTATCAGTGGATGCATCCCGTTATTGTTGTGAAGGTTTCTGGTAAATAAGGACACATGCATGTCTACTAGATTTTCTAAATCGAAAACTCTATTCTAAACTTCTGTTTAAAACTCGATCGAGCTTTATCCCTTTAATCACTATAATATTTAGTTACTATTAACAGTAGAAGAATGTCTCAAATAACTATTAAAATAAAACCCAATTTTCTAGCAAACCTCCTCCGAGACCGATTCGAGTCTCTCCAGCGTCGTGGTGCCCTCGCAGCGTCCAAGGTGATGATGAAGAAGAAGAGGAAACTGAAGAGTTACTTCAAACCAGGACACAAAGTCACCGAGAAAGACATTGAGAAATACGTCAACAAGAAAGTAGGGAAAAAGTAATCCTATGTCTGGGACATATAGGCGATTTTACCTTGTATAAGTGTAATGTAAGTGTGTGCATTTGTTTGTACATAATTAAAGAGGTATTTAAAAGTTTTTTGTCGGTTTTTATTATTATCTTATATCTTATACATTATAACTGCCTGCCTCATTAGCCGAGTGGTCGCAAGTGCGACTGCCGATCAAGGGGTCTCGGGTTCGGTTCCCGGGTCGGGCAAAGCATTACGGGGTTTTTTAAAATCTCAGTAGTAGCACGAGAGTCTGGAATTGTGCCCGGTATATGGCAATAGGCTCACCCCCTATTACATGGGTACTCATAACATAAATAGTGAAAAGTGGGTGTTACATTGTACAGTGGCATTAAGTGCCGTAATGTACACCTATGCCTGTCCTTCAGGTATAAAAAAGGCGTGGTGTTATGTTATGTTATATTATAACAGTATAACCTGAGGAGTTTGTTAGTTTCAACGCTGTTATCTCGGGAACTACTAGTCCAATTAGAAAAAATCTTTTGTATTGGATACTCCATTTATCGAGGAAGGCTATAAAACATCACGCTGCAACCACTAGACACCGAGCAATGAAGGTGTAACCGCGCGAAATTAACCAGATATGGATATTTGTTCCTCTCAATGGACTTAGTTTAATTATTTTATTAGCACTGAATAAAATTCCGTGCGTTTTTAATAAAAAATTTCATAATTATCATTTAATCTTGTCATGAGTATTTTTTTTGACTGGGAAAATCATCCAATAATATCTCTCGCCCGGGTGGGTGAGGCGAAAGGGAGTGTCAGACTGTTATTGATTAAAAATACCCCATTCCTACTTCTGCAATTCGAACCGGAGCCCCGGCAACCCGTTAAGTCCTCCGCGGCTCCGTAATGACATAAGGGTGACAAGGGTGCAAAAAGAAAGTCCAACCAATATTTTTATACAAAAATTTACTAAAAAAACATATCTAACATATAATACAACTAAAGATAGTCCACTTACGAGTATATTACAGAATGTGGCTTTAACGAAATGTATAATAATAATAATTAACATAAACGTAGATTTGTAGGTAACTCAGTATACTAAGCCTAGTATGCTTCCTAAAAATAGGAAAATTAAACAATAAGATTGCTTATAAATTACAATACTATGCGTAAGTCTATGTAGTCGAATTTCTTCTATAACAAAACGTAATAAGTTACTAGGGTCGAAGGTTAAAACTGTCTAGAGTTATATGCACGACTTGTGTATAGTTTGATCAATTGAGTATTATACAATCATCAGGATATGTTTTGAAATTGTAAATATGTATTTCTCTTGTCAATTGACTTAAAATTGTACCTAAGAGATCGTTTTTTCGTAATCATTTTTCGTTAATTTAACAATGATGAGTGTTAGTAGCCATTTAAATTATGGTTTTATTTATTTAAAAAGGATCTCCAACAGAGAATACACGTAACATACATAGTGTTAATGCAAAGAACAGATATCTTGTGCTTCTCCAATTATAGGAGATCACAACATGCAAACAAATTATTAGTAGTGTTTTGTTTTATTAGTGGTTGCCATTTTAATTATGTGGACATACTATTTTCAATAAACAGTTCTAGCTCAAGATTATGATTTTTGTTATTAAATAAATTTAAAATAAAGATTGTATTTTAAGTCAATATATCTCGTGCATAAAGCTCTATGAACAGCTTATTTAAAACATCACGATTTTCAGATTAGTAGCTGAAAATGCCTGATGATATTGAATTTAGGTTGATAACGAATAAATTCTATCTACATAATCACATTTACACGTTTATATTTAGGGTTTGGAATTACTTTACACTGATGTTCTGATTGTAACTTATTCTTGGATTTTATAAAGAGTCTTTTAAACAATTCGGATTTCGTATATCACACTAACCTAACAAAACATTCTAATTTGTAAACCATTTTCACAGTAGATTTCTATTTTCTTTTTAATTTATATAGAGGTCACTCCCAAGAGAAGTTACAAATCGGAACTCCCATCTTAAAAAACATCGAATTTACAAAATAAAAAATGTCGCACAGGACTCAACCCTAAATATAAAAACAAAGACCTTACGTTTCTAGAATATTCTCAACCCCACCGCGCCGCGATAGAGTATAGAGACCTTAATAGTTCTAAGGCTCTTGTGTCCGACGTGGCCTTCGTGTCACTGGGACCTGATACCCTGGCTTCAGCTATAGGACTATCTACAAACGGTGCTGTAGCTGTGGTTCTAGGTTCCACCGGCGTGGTCCTCACGTGGAACTTCTTAATACCTCTCCGACTAGCAGTGTTAGTTCTCAGTGGACTGAACGTAGTAGCCGCAGTCTCCAAGTCTTCTGTCGTTTTTGCAGTCTCTGTGGTTGTACTAGTCTGTGCTACGTTTGATAGAGAATTTACTGCACTCGGGTCAAAGTTAAGGCTTTTCCCTCTTCTATCTCCTCTGGTCTTTTCAACTCTATCTACTCTTCTGAGTACGTTAGCCTCTGTGGTTGGTACTTCAGTCGTTTCTTCTTCCTTTGCAATGTCTTCCATATCCTTTTGAGAAACAGCCATTAAAGCTTCGAGCAATGCCTTCTTAGATGCTTCAGCAGTAGTGTTATGGTCATCATCACATGTCTGTATCAAAAGCAATATCAATCTCTTCACTGTCTTCGATTTCGTTTTCTTCATAACATTCATAAGTTTCTCAGCAGTAGTCGCGTTCATAATTTCTTTGGCTTTTTCTACCACTGTGTCGGTTATTGTAGTTAGATCTTGTGCTGGTTCTGTAGACGAATCTCTTAGTAACCTTCCTTGTCTTTCAAATTCTTTAGTTTCATGAGTGGATACTTCGAAACTGACTGTCGGAGCGGCTGTCTGTTCTGTAGCGATATACTCAGTGGGAGTAGTTGCTGTGTTTGGTATGTATGTGTTCTCTGACAGTCCTTGGTTCTGGTCTAGCGCTGTGGCGCTCAATCCATCGTTAAGTGTGATCGGGTCTATCACAGTACTTTGCCAATTACCGTATGCTGTGCTGGACCAACTTTGTTGGTTTGTTGACTTGTCGCTGTCAGGAGAAGTGAACACGACTTCGGAGGCAGTCGGTGTAGTAGTAAGGGATTCGATTTCTGTTACTCTAACAGTTGTCGTAGGCTGTGTCGTCGTTTGCACAGTCGTGAGGTCATCATCGGGAATCGTAGGAGCTTCAAGATCCTCAGCAGGTTTTTTGATTGGTTCAGCATCAAAGTTTATCTGTTTGCCATGACGGATGCTGTTGCCCTGTGGTGCAGCGAACGATTGACTGTGAGCTCTTTGTAATTCCTCTTCGTTCTCCAATTCTACGCTTTCTGTCTCCGTAAAGTACACAGATGTAGTAGGGGGAAGTTCTGTTGTGGTTTTAATCTTCTTACTTTCAAAATCATTAGTCGTGGATGCTGACGGGTCTATGCCCCAAGCTGTAGGTAAGTTGGTAGCTTCAACATACTCGCTCAATGGTTTTCCTTCTGTTGAAACTGCATTTGTTCCGTATGGAGAATCATTAAGAGTTAAAGCATTGTTCTGGAACCCTCCATATTTGTGAACTGAGTAATCAGCTTCAGTTGTAGATGAGGGTTCATTGTCGTGACTGCTCAGAGTATTGACGGTCACGGCCACGGTGTTTGTGTATGATGGCGTTGTGGCAGCAGGAGTTGATGGCGATGTGTATGATGCTGATATCCTTCCGCAGCACCTGAATGGGTTTCTGACAGTAGATAGAGAACTATACGAACTGTACGATGGTGTTGTGTACTCAGTGGCAGGTCTAGGAGTAGTGGTTGTTTCTTCGGTCACCGGGTATATCGTAGGGATGCCTAAAGCTTTCGGTTCTCGCAAGTTTGATACAGGCGGTACAGCTTTATGATCATCTGAGAAACCTAGTATCTCATCGTCTTCCTCGTTTACTGTTGTCGTTGGTTCAGTGTTGATATATTCTTCAGTCGTCGTCAACAAGTCGCCGAACGAAGGATGCGTTGGTCTTATATCCGACAGAACCTTTCTAAACTGAACTGGGTCTTGTAGATAGGCAGATAACGCGTGTGTGAAGACTTGAGCCAATTCCCTGATTTGTGGAGAAGTAGCGATTGGATTTTGACTTTGTTGAACAGACAGGTCTTCTACTAATTCGTTGTAGGTTCCATTAGGATCTTCTCTTATTTCTTCCAATAGTTCAGCATTAGTCATTTGGTGACCAAAGAGGTTGCTGTATTTGTTAATTGTCTGACGGCTGAATAGAGCTGGTAGGACCTCTTCCATAGCCTCATACTCATCGAATGCAGGTGTAACAGTTTCAGCTTCTTCAGGAGTAGGAGTAGTTGACAAGTTATCTAAAGCTGTTGCGTAATAGATCGCCAGGCTATGTAAGGTTTTAGGTGTTAGTGATGGTGGAACGACTAAGCCTGGCCTGTTAGGCTGGTCTCCGAAATATTTGTCAGTATTAGTTGTAGGGACAGTGGGTTCAGTGGCAGTAGGCGCATATCTGTCTAGGTTCAGTTTCCTCATCAGTCTTTCACGACGTTCTTGGTAGGAAGGTTCTGTTGTAGTCTGAGTGGCGTGGTTGGTGGTGGAATATACATCGTACCTGTCAGATGAGGCTGTCTGAGTGTAAACGTCGGCTCTGGTGGTGTGAGGGATTTTGGTAGCTGATTCGAAATTGTCCTTGGTGTTGTCAGTTCCTTGTTTTTCTGTCTCAAGATTGTCGCTCCTAGCGGTAACTTGCTGAACTTTCTCGGTAGTAGTTGTCAATGACAAAGTTTTGTTCTTCTCCTTTTGGAGGAAACCTTTGAGTAGAGATACTCCTGGTCTGGTGTATGGTTCTTGTTTTTCAATAATTGTCGAATAACTTTTGGTGTAAGGTATTAATGTTGGCCGTTTGGTCGTAGTTGGTTCTGCGGTTGACGGTGCCGATTGTTTGTCACGAAAATCATACAGAGTTGTCAAATTGGGATTGCTCTTTGCCTTAGGTTTGGTAGGAATGTTTGGCGTGTATACTGGGTACGGCCTGTAGTTCTTGTTGTGGAAGTCCTGCAGATACTGTCTGTTATTGTTGTTCGCGAATGCTGCTGTCTCAGCTGCAACCTGCATCTCTCTCAAACTGTAGTCCGGAGTACTACTTCTGTACACCGGAGATTCTGTGTAAGTGGGCTGTGTAGTTCTTGCTGGAATGTTACCAAAGTTCGTGGAAATGAGTTGAACCAAACTCTTTCTTCTTTGTTCAAAGGCAGTTGTGGCAGCTGTTCTTTGCGTGGGGTTGAAGTTGTCAGTAAACAAGGCTTGGTAGGTCTTCACGGTTGCTTTAGGGATCTCGGTCTGTCTCTGTCTGCTCCTGAGCAGTCGTTCAGTCGTGCTGGGCACATTGACTGGCGTACGCCTGGACTCCGCCCTGATGTTGGTGTCAGCGCCGATTTGCTGAAGGTCCTGGTTTTTGCTGAGGCTTTGCGTGATCTTCTGACTCTTCTTCTGTTCATTGGAATAGTACTCGGCGCTGGATTCGTAGAGTGCTGGGGCGGAGGCGCAGTCCACCTTGAACCACCAGTCACATATGAGGTGCGACTGGCTGAAGATGGTGCCGTTGGGACAAAGGAACGAGATCTTGCGGGACGTGTCGCAAATGTGGAACACCTGGAATTAATAAAAAAATAATTATTAGAGTGGAAGGGAAGTTTTGAAACAATTAATTATTGTAACTAATTTTAAGTTGTACTATATTAGTTTTCGGTATATACCTGACAATCGGTTTCCAAGTCGGCGTAGTATCCAGTGGGCACGTTCTTACAGTTGAACCCGGTGGGGGGAATGTTGGGGAACGCTGGGAAGTCTATACCGGCCCTCCCGATCACACCTAGAAAGATTGTAAAATAACGTTACATGTTAATTATAATGGTATACGATTTACATATTTGAAACTGGCTGGAGTAAACTAGTAATAGTTTCTGATCGGGTAAACATAAAAGTTATAGTAAAGGAAAGAAGACTTTGTTTTAAGAGGAAATAAAGTATACTTTTCCTTCGCCTTTCTCACCTTGATACTCAACAATATCTTCGGGCTGGTTGTCAGGGGGTATGAGCCGCTTGACCAGTGCCTTGCCTTCGGTGTAGTGCTCAAAGCCGGCGGCGCCCATCGCCTGCGCTAGCTCTTGCAGGCTCTCTACACTTGGCGAGGGGGCGTATAACTCCGTGTCCTGGAATTTTGAGATGTTTTTGTACATTTCCTAATAGGTTTGGCTGAATTACACATATTAAATGCTGAATTCTTTTAGAGTTCAAGTTGAAAATCGTGGGGAGCTTATTTCCATACAATACATTTCCAGATTTGTCAACTGGCAAATTGAACCCGAGATTCCAGGCCAAAGAGACAATAGGAGGTTTTTTTATAAGGGTTATGCCGCTATGGATGGTGAAAAGTAGATGATTCGTACCTGTCTACGTTGCGCTGTCCGACGTGCTCCATCACACGAGCCTGAAACAAATATTAGATCATTAATCAACATTTCACACAAATTATTATTTTACCTAATAATAAGATGGGTACTTTAAACGTGTGAGGTACGATTGCATCAAAATAGTATGCAGCACATTTGCTTATAATCATTTTGTGCTAAACTGCAGCAGCTGGTACTAAGCTGCTATCACATTTGGGTTCCAAGTCTACTGGTAAGGCTGTGCGTAACTTTTGTAAGCACACAGTTCAGCACATCTGTGCACATGTTCACTGAGCAGAGCACAATGTGCATTGCAGTGCCGCACAGAGCAGCACACTAGTGGAATCGTATCTCTAGGTGCAAAGTGTAGTATTTAGGTTCAGTGCTAACAAAAAATCTTTAAATAATAGGCTAGCGAACATAAAGTGTGTCGTGAAACAACAATATCCTACGGGGAAAACAAGCTACCTACTTCATTCACAAGGTAAGTCTTTTTTTTTCTAAAACGACCTAAAATCATAGTACACATTTCAATGCTGCGGTGATACATACAATTTTAGAATAGTAAAATTAAGAAGAGAGGACTTGTCCGATAACTGTTGAACATGAGTATTACAGCTTACAGCGTAGGTAACCTTTGTCTTAGGCATACGAAGGTAATTCATCTAGCTAGCAAATGTAATATAGGCTAATTTCACATCATCATTACATTCACCAAACAAGACCTGACATTGTCAACTTAAAACTAATACATACAAATGTACGTACAATCATCTTACACCTACATACCTATTACAATAACACGATTAGCTCAGTAATTGTCATGAAGGTTCACAATGTATTTGGTACAAGTGTGGCTATGAATAATGGCGGCCACACAATGGGACCTGCTTTCTAATGCACGCCGTGCTCTGGTCGCGGGGATCCCGCGGTGATTCACGATTCGCGGTATCTTGTTGGGTTAGGGGTATAGTGATGGTTGAACAGCGAATTGAATGTGGCCGCGAGTTATGTTGGGTGCTGTTAGACGTGAAAGTAAGTTCTATCAACATCAACTGTCCGGAAACTTAACTAATGGATTACTGGCCATATTGCATATACGAGATTGTAGTTTAAACTGTCAAACACCAAGCGGTCACCGGTGACCGCAACCTATTGTTCTATAATTGTGTCTACAAAACAGGTACTCGACGAGTTAAGTCTTTTACTGTTGATGGCAAATCCTTTGTTAGTCACTGGTGCCTAGGTAAAGGTCCCGGTGCCTCTTACAGGTCTTGAGGGTGACCACCGGGGTGGTTTAGTGAAGTGAAAATCCTGCACTCCCTAGTCTTTCTCCCCAAAAGCTAGGCGCCTTTGAAATGTTTCCCCCGTCATAAGAAAGGTAGCTTTACAGTTACTAACGTGTTAAAAATTTCAAAGTTTGTCAGAGAGCGCTGCTGCCTGGTCTTTGTCAAATTTGGCTTTTACGACACCAGTTGGAAATTCTTTCAATAGTGATTTACAGGGTGTGCAGTTTCTAACCAACAGCATAAGTTTATTAAATCCGCCTTTTCTATGTTCTTATAACCACACCCTAATCTCGCCAAGTGCGAGTGCAAGAGAGTGAAAGTATCGATGTGATCGATGACTCGTATAGCACGTGAGAATAGAGATGTGCCGCGTATCGATATCGATATGTAGGATTGAACAATAGTGCGGCTTGTAAGTGGCTTATAGTGGGCGTCCGTTTGTCTAAGGTTTAACTTGTTAATGATATACGAAAGTGTTCTGTGAGCCAGTAATGGAGACATGTCGAGTATATACGAATTTAAATAACAATGCACAGGTCTTTTAGTACGTAATTGAGAGATAACAATTGGTAAGTGATAGTGAAGAAATTTGATTGCTTTTATTACATGTAGTTAATAATAAAAGTGGTGTAAATTCAGTATAAGTACCAACTTTCAAACGGTTAGCCCTTTGTAGAACAAAAAGTAGATCCATAGGTTGTAAAAGAATAGAAATTATTATCTATTGTCAGCTCTATAAATACTGTAAACGCAAGTAGAATACCTATAGGTATTAGAACAGTCAATAAGTCTCCAGGATTGACATAATCTTAAAAAAAAACTAAAGACCTTTACATACATTCTTACTATTCCATCCGACCAGCGCAAGGCATTTGGCTGCTGACGTTGATGAATTAGAGAGAGCCGTGATGATAATACTATAATCGGGTGTGTTTCGGTATATTATAAGACCTAAATAAGGGAGGCGGTTTCGCCTTAGGGCTTAGTATCTAACACTTAATACCTACACGTTACCCTATAGTTATTCTAAAACAAATGATAGTTCTGACCTTTGCTGCGAGCAGTGTAACTAACCGATGACTTCAGTATGTCACTGTCTTTTATTATCTGTGGAAATATTGTTGTAATCTGTGGAAATAATGTTCTCGTATTTTGATTGTCAAAGTATAAGGAAATAGTTGAGGTGTTAGTAGTAATATTTGAGTTATCTGTGTATCTAGGACTATTGAGCTTGCGGTCTTTGGTTTGATTCTCCAGGTGTGTTACTCTTGCGGGTTTTTAAACGAGTTTCTCCGATTTTAAAATTTTTATTTAATATCGATTTGATCATTACTTTACTCGTTCTTCTCTACAATAGTGTAGTATTTAGTATGATAGAACATAACTCCATTAAATGGACATAATTATCATTTTATGTGTGTGATTGTGTTTGTAAAAGTTCTAACTGAAATAAATAACTTGAGTCTGCTTCATTAATTTGTAGAATGCTGGTGTTAGTTCGTTCGCTCAAATGCAAATGCATGGCGTTCAGTGTCACACGAAACAGTGCCTTTTTTTTCAAGGGGGGAAAATGATCGCATGACTTCTCCCGCCTGGGTGAGGCAGAAGGGAGTGTCAGACTCTTACTGACTAAAAACCACCCTGTTCCTTCTTCTGCACTTCGAGCCAGAGCTGCGGTAACCCGTTAGGTTCTCCACGACTCCGAATCGGCATCAACCCTATTGGGCCCCATCCGTGGTGGTCTGATGGCTTTTTAAGGAGCGCGCGGAACGCCGTGCGCAGGCCACGAAACAGTGCCTACTACTAAAATATCTAAGATGAGATTGTAACTTATGACAAAATAGGTACAAGTTAAGAACTTCAATAACATTAACATTACGGTTACCTACTGCGATGTGAAATATTAAAAGTAGTTCCAATGTGCTGTAGACGTCCTAACAATAGTTCACGACATCTGATGGCATCTAAATAATGTTGTTTCGACTTTCTCTTCTATGGCTGAGGTAATAAGGTACATGTTCTATACAGTCGCGTCTACACAGGGTGATATAAAAACTTGACTGAATTTTTAACTGTGATACATAAAAAAACCTAGTGGCGTTAAAAATTATTGTAATTGGGCCTCCGGTAACCTCGCTCACACGACGAAACACAACGCAAGCGTTGCTTCACGTCGGTTTTCTGCTCAGCCGTGGTATCACTCCGGTCGAGCCGGCCGATTCGTGCCGAAGCATGGCTCTCCCACTCTTAAGGTCAACAAAATCGTGAATCGGTGTATATTTTTATAACACTCTGTATGTGTTAATACGTAAATAAGAAATGTTATTACTTGTCGATGTCAAAGGTCACACATTGACGGCAATAATATAATAATATTGTAATGTATGTTTGTCCGACTGTGATTGTGTCTGATTGAATCATTATCATGATGATTATTGGCATAAGTACGTGTAAGTAGTGTGTAGTGACCATTTGTAATTTTTCGAAACAATAGGATTGCTGAAGTGACTTCATCTGAAGATTGGAATAACAACTGTGAAGAAATATTCTCGTGTTTGTAGGTAGAGAATTTTTATTTTACAAAAATAGGATTTAATATGATTGAAATTAAATTACAGTCAAAATATTTCCCTATGCCTATGGCATTAAGGAGAGAGGTAAGG